AAATGAAATAAAAGTAACGACTTTCTACTTCTTGTCTTTTTTAAATTGTAAGGAGTATGAAGTACAGATATTTGTGTAAAAATGTAAGAAGTAGAAGTAAAAAGTAGGCTGAAAAAAATTACTCAATTAAATTACTCAAGTAAAGTACAGATACCCAAAAATTCTACTTAAGTACAGCAAGAAAGTATTTGTACTTTAGTTACTTTACAACTCTGGCTGCAGTGGTGGTGCAGCAGGAGATCCGTCAACTTTTTTTTTCTTCTTTTAAGTCGATGTTAAAGTATCACACCTAAATTCAGATCTTTCACGATTTTTATACAACACAGTTTAGGATTTTTGAAAAATTTGTTTTGTTAATTTTTCAATTTAAACTCTAACATTTGGTGTGTCTAAACTTTCCAGAGCAAATATACTTTTTTTCTCCACAATCATTTCACTTCTATACAATTTATTCATTAAAAAATCCATGTCTTGTCAGCTTATGTTATAATAAAATAAAACACTGCAATAATATTGGGATTCATAGAAGAAAAATGATGTATGTTGAAAGGTCAGACAGTTTCTTTGAAAATAAATTAATTCTAAATATTTACTTTCACTGTGTGACAGATTGTGTTTTGGCTCTTTGCTGAGAGCGGGAGGTCACTAAAGTCTTTACCTCTTGTCTCTAAAGAGTTTTTTTTTTGTTTATCCACTACAAACATCTGAGCTGTTATTCTCATCTAATGAATAAATAATTCAGGTCAGGATTGTAGCAAATCAGTTTAGTTTCCTAACTTATATGCAGTTAGCTTTAGTCCATCCACAGAAACGTCAGCAGCTCTGCGCCCCCCATGAGGCCAGTGACCCACATCTGAAATGTAGGTAAAACAGAGGCTGACAGCCTCAGTCTGATTGGTGGGAGTATTTCTCTTACCCTATGCCACCCAGTCTTCTGGGACAGCAATGTCAAGTTGCTGACAAGCGATTAGAAGGCCCTGCATTTGATTTCTAGGCCACAAATATGAATCTGACCAATAAAACACAAAGAAAACTAGGCTTCAAATCTCCAAACTTTTCCTCTGAAGTGGTTCAGGGGCCAACAGACCAGACGGGCTTTTTATTTATAACAAATCCATAAATTAATTCCACATTTTGATCACACTTTCCTATCTGCCATGAGGCAGCTTTCAGCTTCAAAACCCTATGAACCTGAGAAACAGGACACTGCTCTCACCAAATAAATAATAAAACATGTTTGTTTTCAATGGAAACCTGCAGTTGATAGATAGATAGATAGATAGATAGATAGATAGATAGATAGATAGATAGATAGATAGATAGATAGATAGATAGATAGATAGAT